AGTACACTTTAAAATCATTTAAAGTAAATTGTTTCATATCCACTTCTGATTAAAATCACTATTTTAAATTTTCATCCATGAAAAATTTCCAAATAATTGACGAAACCCCTGATGTATAATTCATAAACGAACAAATTTTAAAAAAGTTTGAGCTAGTGTTGACGACTGAGACGGTGAATTAGTAATTCTCAGATGCATTTCTGTTTTATTTCCCACCTAAAGGTAGAGTCCAACCACTCCGAAAGCTGAGTCAACAAATAATGCAAAAATAAGACAAAAAAATGAATGTTTTGTTTCATGTTGATTTTTCGATGTGAGCTTCGCATATTATTAATTCAGTTGCTGTTTTGAGTAGCGGGGCATTACATTTAGCGACTTTATTGACTATTTTCTCTGCTAGACATTTTTCAACCACACTTCACAATTATAGCATATCAGCGCTGTGTTGAAGCAGTAACTCTCTGTCAGATGTAACTCATCCAATTTCAGTTTGAAAAATTCTCGTAACTTTTTTCTGCTTTAGGAACGAATTGCAACGAAAAGTAAAGAAACAGTTTTTGCACAGTTTTCATCCTATTAAGTTCANTGTTTTTGCGAAAGTGAGTATTATATATTCGCAATAGAAACGTTTGAGTTATCTTGCACAATTACGCCACAATTTAATCATCTGTAAATTTTCATTTCGATTCTGCGAATTGATGAAAATAATTGAAGTGCAGCGATGAGCTATCTTCAAATGGAGTATAAACGAACAAACAAAATTAGTGGATCGTTCGAGTGCTTTTGAAGCGATAATTGGTTCCGAGAAATTGAATCGAACTAGGGAATTGAGAAGTGCTCAAAGATCTTTACTTATACAGCGAATTAGTTTCTTTGTTAGGATTTAACATATCTGATAACATTACCCATAGTCATTATTCTAAACGGTTACTGGAATGGACGATCTTGAATGTCACGTTTTGTATGCAAAGTTTTGTTACTTAGGCCGAATTCTGAAGCAATTTGCTTCGTTCGTCTCGAATTTGCCTTGTTCCGTACTATTTTTCTGCCCTCTTCTAACTATCACTCCATGAAATGTCGAATATGATCAAGTTGAATTCATGAACGATAATTTGAAACTCGGCCGAATGAAAAGTTCATTGTTGCATCGTAAAAGTTAACTCTTAACAAGTCGTATAACTGAAATCTCATCTTTATTATGTGAACACACTATCAAGCAGCTAATTATGTGCGCATTCAGTAACGCAACATTGCGTGCCATGTGCTCATTTCAAAGTAGTCGCATTGGTCTGATTAATCTTGGGAAGTGATTTCCTTCTCGTTTTGGTTTTATCTCCTAAATTACTCGCTTTTTTCCGAGCGTGCTTGCAAAATTGTTTGAACTGTTAGTGTCATTTCCACATACAAGCCGTCTGTTTTTCAAATGAAGCATGCAGATCGGCAGCTCTCCAGTTGTATCCTATTTTTAGTGCAAAAAAATATTCGATTGAATTTGCAAAAAATAATTTCTGTTGCAAAAACTATTCGATTTTTATTCGATTCGTTGGCAAACGGTTACGGAATCTTGATGAGATAACATGTATACACACAATGCCCACTGGATTACCAAAGAGTGGGACGCAAATGGAATGAGATAGTATTGCATTCAACATGCCATGAAAACTAGCACTCGCACTTTATCCAGACAAAACTTGTTCCTACTAAAGCGCTGACATATTCGGTAAACAAGTTTTCATAGAACTATTGAAAGTTTCACGTGAAATTGTGAAAAAGAAACATTTCAAAGAAATTGCGTATACCTTGAATTGCGACAGATTCGTGCATCACTGGCCGAACACACTTCATTTTCGACGCAAGATGATTGCTGTGTTGAATGACAGCTATGTTGTTGAGATAGCCACACGACCATCACAATCAGTGCACGGCCGTAGAGCATGGAACAATTTTTGAGAGGAACAAGAGAGCAGCTCAAAGCTGTATATGTCAGTTATGTTTTCAGATAATATTGATAATACTCACCAGTTATGCACACAAATACCAACACAAGCAGCAGCCTTACTCACTCACACCAATAATGCTCTCTTAGCAAGTAGTGCACGTTTAACAATAATGCCTCAAAATCGTTCACACCTTCTCATGTCCACTCGTCAGTCTCGAAGAGTGCTCCTCCGAATTTGTTTCTGATATCTGAAATGAGGTAATTCTCCATTATTATTGTCGGATGTCATTCACAATCACTGTTTCTCGTACACTTTACATTTGCTGTTTTTCCTCAATGAGGTGTCCAAATGGAACATTATTACGCAGCTACTACATCGTCGAATAAAATTACGAGTATCAATATTTCATTTGCAGATAGTTTAACGAGCGAAGGTATCTAGATCGGTATCAAAACGATCAAGCTATCAAAAATGTTAAAAGAATTATCAACAAGAGTATGAAAAACTACAAGCAAACAAACCGTCCAACTAAAATTATCGAACTGTCTAAACACCGATCAAAAATAATCAGCACTATGTTTGAGTGTTATCAGCGCATTCCATGTCAACTTACATGATTTGTATTCCACTTTGTCCTAATGGATGTTCTATCGTGACTGAAAACAATTCTCAGATCTAGACGTCAAGTATGCAAGTTTAGGTGGTGGGAGTCGAGTGTGCATGCACAATTGTATAATTCATTCGAATTGTAATAGGAATATGAACAAAAACATGTTAATTGTTTCCTTTATATACTATTCGAAGCTAAGTTACTATGAAGTATTAATGAGTTGTTTAAGCAAAGTATCATGCTGGATGCTTGTTAAATCATTCATTTGAATCTGAGTTTTCTTTACTATTCAGAGCGTTTTAGCATTGACAAATTGAATTTTTCCTTCTCTTCACGCCTTTCGTTAACTAATCTCTGCAAAATTAATTTTTCGTATAGATACACTCCAACACATTCATATCTTATGTGTGCTTTCAGTCGGTATGGATGACAACTCGAAGCATTTCTGTTGTTGAGGGGGAGATATCCGCAGAATCAAAACCTTTGGGGAAATGTAGATTTCCCCAAAGATTTGGGAAATCTACATTTG